ATACTGAATCCAATGTGTCATTGATACGTAGTTTCGAGTCCTCTGGGAACGTCGTGCAGAGTTTGAAAATTCCTGGGGATAGCTAACTTATTTGAAAATGTAGTTCAACTGGGTACACGGAAGGCTTGGTCGATTTGTACATAAACTTCAAGCCAGGGGAAGGTTCTCTGCGAAAAAAATTAACGAGATGGGGCTAAGGTTCTTCTTTTATAAGATGGCTCGTATGCTGGTAGGAAACACTGCGGCCCAGATGCAGAAAAACAAATTCACCAAACAACAAACTTCGAGTCCTCTGGGAACGTCGTGCAGAATTTGAAAATTCCTGGGGATAGCTAACTTATTTGAAAATGGAGTTCAACTGGGTACTTGGAAGGCTTGGTCGGTTTGTACATAAACTTCAAGCCAGGGGAAGGTTCTCTGCGAAAAAAATTAACTAGATGGGGCTAAGGTTCTTCTTTTATAAGATGGCTCTTATGCTGGTAGGAAACACTGCGGCCCAGATGCAGAAAAACAAATTCACCAAACAACAAACAAATTCATCGGTATTCTTGACAGCTAATGGCATGCCGCGATTGAAATGCAAAGCTGTTCATCGTGGAATAGAATCACATGTCCTACAATTTCAACTATCAGTGTCTTCCCGGGGATCAAAAACTGAAAGAAAATGAGCAGGGAATTTGGACTCTATAGCATTGGAGAAGCTTCTTAATGACAGACAGCGCAATAGCAAGCGAAGATGTTCTGAAAGCTTTGAGTCTGAAAAAAAAAACTTCCGCACGACCGGACAGTTGAATGCCCATCTAGATGAATTCTCGAGATTTTTGGTTTTTCGAAGATCCGCTGATCCGTCGTAACATGCCCTTTTCAGCCTCCTGCTCGTAACTTTAGCAGACGTTGTGGTCACACTTTTTCTACCCCATCAAACGGCTCCCATTTTCAAGCTATTCGGGCTTTTTCATCCTTTATGGGTTCTCTGTTAAGCCGTTTGGTTCAGCTGAATATTTGCTAAAGTTGAGTTTGTGAAATAGAGTCGACATGCCATAGAAATGCAGTAAGCTCAGCTGGCAAATGCGAATAGTCTGATGTTGAGAAATGCAGGGCTTGATTCTCCACTTTTCTCAATTACTGGTGATTCAATGATGTATTCCCGGCTGTTGCGGTCAAATACAAGCCAGTCTTTCAGTCAACATGCGATCACGTGTGGTTTTTGTGGAATTAGCTTGGTCCTCCGAGCTATTATCGCGTTTTTCGACGCTTATCTCGAGGTTTCCAGCCGGGTTCTCCCTTCCTTATCAACTCGACGACTCACNACTACTGTTCGCTACTGCTTATGCTTATTTAGTAATAGTACTTGCCTTCATTTGTAAGTAACTCACCACGGACTCTCGACCTTGTTCTTTCTCATCTGGGGGATCTGCTGTGCGTTTGACGACGTGCCCCTTCTGAATCGCGAAATCATTCCTTTCGTGCTGGGCATATACACTTACTCGAAGTACTCTTTCGATGTGCAGGATGGAATTTCAATGCCTTGCTACCTTTATAGCAGAGGCCAAGATCCTACTCATGGACCAGGAATGGGGATTGCCCCTTCGGTGGTACTACCCAAGTTTTGTAGTTCGTTTGTGCAACGTTAAGAGGGCCTTTTGCCGCTGATTGTTTATTTCAAATGTCCTGCATACACATTTGATCGACTGTCTACTATCCCACCCCAAATTGGATTCCCAACAAAGCTGTTTACCATTTCGAAGAGCGTTGTACAATGAAAACAGCGAGTGGTGTAGAAAACACGACTGCTATTCTTGGATGTTGCCCGCAGCTGCCTCAAAGGCGTCTCGCGCTTCCCTGACCAGACGCCTCTCAAGGCAGAGCAGTTCTACAAGTAAATTGTGAGCGGCCATTTCCCTCGAGTTCTTGTTTGGATGTGGAAGATGGAAGCTTCATGAAGCCCTATTGGAGTTGTAGGCGTGATTGGAATAAGTTTCTATTCCATTCACACATTTCTCTTCTGTAGGTTGAACTTTATCTTCCATTTCTGTGTGGGAAACATAGGTGAAATGTTCCCGGTGCGTCGCAGAAGCTTGGTGTGATTGGTCTTTTGAAGCAAGTGTCTTGTGTGCAAAAATTCGCAGAATTGCTTGTGGTTACATAGTGAGGTTTAGAGCCAAGGTGGAACTTTCAGGAAGTGTAGGAGAAGTCGCTGTATAGAACTTTCCCTTGATGACTTTGCGACTTTCGAAAAGCCCAAAATCAGATTTGCAGAAAATTTAGCACTTCGCCTCAAACGTTGCCCTTATTTGCACATACAGTTTGGTGATAGTTTGAATTGCTCAAATCGTTTAATGATTCCATTTATTTGATAAATTTACTCTGAGAAGCAAGTACCAAGTGTTTATACTCGATATTGTTTCTTTTTCTCTTAGCACTTACCTCTACCGTTTTCCATTTTTTTGACGAGTTCTTTGGAGACTTTCGAGACGGCAATTTCATCTTCATTCAATGAAAACCACTTGACGTTTCCTCAAACGTTAGTAATTCCATTTCATCCTCTCCATGGCTATCGAGCTGGAAGGACATTCTTATGTTTTGAGGTTTCGGTTAACTTAAGTGGGGCCCAAGGGCCATCTGTGAGCAAAACGAGGTGCCTGAAGCATTTAGATGGTTCCCAAAGAGAGCCTACAGTGGTGGCCCCGTGTTGCCCTTTATTCCAGGGTACCCTGAATGCGGTACTCTTCGTTTTCTCAAGATTTGCTGGTCACAGCCTTGTATGGTCGATTACAGGGTGCATAAGTTCCATTAGTACAAGGGTCCGGTGGGATGTGAATGAGCTGCTGTTGGGCAGTTTTTGAATAGTTTCAAAGTTTCGTAATCGCCCACTGCGTAGGGGGTAGTGGGTCGATTTATGAGGTTCATGGTATACATTCAACGATTTGAATCGTCAACGTTAGATACTGATAAGCTCGTGAAGTCTCAGCCTCCCAGGTGGTCGATCCAGGCACCGCGCGGTGATGGCACTTCCTAAAACTTCGTAATTCAGACCCTTGCTTTTTATTGTCACACTATTCGAAGCTATGACTGCGCATTTTACTTTTACTTTTACCACGAAATTTCTTAGAAACTGCTAATCTTATTACATTGTTTCACTGTCTACGAATAGCATACGTCTGTAGTTTTTGCAATGTCCCTTGAGACTAGGCCACCGCTTTAAGTCACTCATTTATTTGCTCCCACCCTTTTGCCCTTTTTAAAGTCCGAGGCTGCAGGAGTAAGAAACTTTGATCTTCAGCAGGAGATTATTGTGGGCGTATCAATCATTTCCCATGTTTTTTCTACAGGTGAAACGGTGGTGCACTTCAATCGTCTGGTACTTTGCGAAGTGACGGCAAATGTGATGAGCAATTGCTTCAAGATTCTCGGAATCCGTGAAGTCCCCCGGATGTGATCTCCTCCTACTTTCGCCTGACTCCCGAATCGGTTAAAGCGGCCTGAGTGGCGGTTGTCACAGCGTTCACATGGGCAGTGACGCTGTCGACTGTTTCGATCGCCGTTCGCCCCCATGTGATCGCTTGTCGGTCACACCTGCACCTCGTTGATAGCTCGTCGTTCTCTGCGTTTTTTCAGTCGAAATCTCGCTTTTCTATTAATTACATAGCATATGTCACCTTTTAGCATGTGGTTTCTGTTTCGTTTCTATTGAATGGTTGGGTTTTATTGTTGATCGGCTTAGAGATAAATATGTTGTTATTGTTTACAAAAAGTACGAGTACTCGCTGTAGATTTGACTGATAAATGGATGTGGAGGTGACATTGAGTTCGTCGCCCTCCTACTCTTTCACGATTTCGGCAGGCTGTGATCGTGGTGATCGAACCACCATGGAAGATCGAATATGCGTTCACAAGGGGTTCGCGAAAGACGGCACGGTCAGTTTCCTTTCCCTTTTTTTCCAATGAGTTGCTTTGCTATATAGTTGAGACTTCTGTATTTATTTTGACTTGATGTTTTGTTTACTGCTATCGCCGCAGTACGCGTTCCGAAAGTGTCACGAGGTTGACCATTTATGGACAAAACTTCAGTCTCGGACGAGACTCGAACCCGTACGTGTCCTTTCCGGTGTTTTCATTGTTGTTCGGCTTAGAGATAAATATGTTATTATTGTTTACAGAAAGTACAGTATATCCCAAAAAGGACAAGTACNGAAAGTGTCACCAGGTTGGCCATTTATGGACAAAACTTCAGTCTCGGACGAGACTCGAACCCGTGCGTGTCCTTTCCGGTGTTTTCATTGTTGATCGGCTTAGAGATAAATATGTTGTTATTGTTCACACAAGTATGAGTATTCCCCGGAAAGGACAAGTACGGGACGGGTTTCGAGTCCCGTCAGAGACTGAAGTTTTGTCCATAGATCGCCAACCTTGTGAGGCCTTCTATATTTAATTTTTTATAAGTGCGGTGTGATGACCTTTGAGATTGGGTTGAATCAATGTCAGGTGATAGTGTTGATAGGGCCATTGCAACAAAGGACAGCCTTTACTCTTTGATAAATGATTCTGAAGATACCGCTATTATCATTACGCTATGTGACGATCGATATGCATTTTTACTGTGTGTGCAATAATTTGATAAGCCTCAAACAGCGTGAAACCGCTTCGGCTGTCGCGAAAACTCTACCATCTTTCGACTTTCACCTTGGGGGTTGTTGGGTTTACTTTGGATGCATCTTGACCAGAGAACTCGAGAAAGAAATGTGTTCATAGGCTATAGAAAACCGGAAGAAGGTGATGGTGCGTGGTGAAAGTGGGGACGTTTTCCTTGAAAAAATTTCTTAGGGGAGCATGTAGGAAAGGTACTCAATGGTACACTGGAAGAAAGGTCGGGCTTGATTTCATCAGAGGAAAACGTGTTCGTTTTAGAATCCTTAGTTTCCACTTATACGCTTTTATGTATCCCTTGCGAAAGCGGTGGCGAAATGTGAGCTTACAATTTCCTGATCACAAGCTTAAAGGCACAGTTCACATTACAAGGGGTTTCTGACAATGAGATTTCTCCTTTGGTTGAGCCTGTGACACTAATAAGGGACGTTATCGGGTCGAAAAACAGTCAAGATGTAGCGTAATAAAGGCTCAGTTGGCGTAAACACCCAAGACGGCCGAGTTCTTAAGCGCTGTAAAAGCTGTAGAGGTCGCACCATTCGCATCGGGACCCACACCTTGCACGCAGGCAGTTCGCCGCCAGCAGGCTGTATGCAATAGCGCGCAGATTTGAACAGCTCGTCCGAAACCCGTTCCATGTATTTTTTGTCGCCATATTCTCGTCAAATCCCTAATTTCAGTTCTTTTTCAAAGCCTTAAGGTTCTCTGAATACGTCGATTTTCGCGTTTTCTTCCCAACTTTTGCTCTTTCTGGGCTATCTTTTTCGTTATTCGCCTAGAACTAGAACTGTGCCCTTAATGTGAAGGATGTGCCGGTCATTCGCACGAAAGGTCTCCAACTATATTTGTTGCTATACTTAGAGAATGCATGAGAAGTGCGGAAAGGCGGCTTAGAACACTCCTTTATACCATCCATTTTTCTTTACGCACAAGGGTACCTGGTTCAGATCTGAAGGCATACTATATATTCGAGGTAAATACGTAAGAAATGTTGCCATAGCCGGCTCTGTTCATAAGCTAAAGACACAAGCCCTGAAAGCGGAAGTCATAAGGTTATGATTCATTGATGAGATTCGATTTGAACTGGTGTTCAGACGCAGCGAAAGTACATGAACTTTCTTAAAACCGGCTGCTTTTGTGATCAAACAGTTTCGAGGCTTCATTATATTTTGGTAGTGAGTGATGCTGTGCTCCTAAGCTAGGGACACAAGCCCCAGCGACCCATTTCTCAGCGACTCGCTTTCGAGATATAAGAAAAACTCGGAATTGTTGGATCATAAAAGCAGTCGGTTTTTAGAAAGTTCATCTATTTTCGTTGTGGCTGAACACCAGTCTAAATCGAATCTCATAAGCGGCTAATATGTTGCTAAACTCCATTTTCAACATACACTTTGGAAGAAAAAGTGCCATCAGTGGAATCGTTCACATGGAAAGTCTCCGTTTCCTTTTTTCTAAGAGAAGGAAAACCGTTCGGAGTTTGGATAATACCTTCTTTTCAGATTCAAGCTTCCTCTGAATAGTCGTAGTCTTGGTCTTGGCAGCATTTCGTAAAGCATGGGGGGCGAGGGCGAGGGGGGGGAGAGCCCGAAATTCATTGGTCCGCAGGTGCCATCCTTGCTGCCCATATATTTCCACTCAATGAGCAATGTGAATTTGTCTCATTTTGTGGAGCTGAAATGCACAGTTGTTAGGGATATATTTCCGTACCATTTCAAAACCGAATTCGTTCCTGTTCGTGGAAGTGAGCACCACAGAATCAAGCTGTGCTCACAAACACAAACGCAAACTCACACATCGCCAACATCGCTCCAGCCAGTGACAACCCCTCCCTATGCCTTATTTAGAACCGTATATGCAGCACATGTGCCAAGAAATAAGTTTCCGTCAAAGTTCTACACTAGCCTCTGCAGCTCTAGCATCATGATCAGGTTTTTTGAGCATTTTACGAAAACAGCCGGGAGCAGCCAAAAACTAATTCGATAGTTGGCTCGAGTGTACGTCCTGTAAGGATGCATCGAAAGGATTCCATAGGTGCCAAGAGTCTCGTAAAATTCACCTCACCCAATTCCGTTCCTAGCGCCTCTTAGCATATGATATTTTGAACATTTACAGCTCGATTTCCTTCTGCTCGGGCTGTTCGACGGCCATGCTGGTGATGAAGCTGCACAGTGCGCCAAGNCACAGAATCAAGCTGTGCTCACAAACACAAACGCAAACTCACAACATCCCAAACATCGCTCCAGCCAGTGACAACCCCTCCCTACGACTTACTCCGAACCGTATATACAGCACATGTGCCAGGAAATAAGTTTCCGCCCAAGTTCTACACTAACCTCTGCAGCTCTAGCATCATGATCAGGTTTTTCGAGCATTTTTACAAAACCGCCGGGAGCAGCCAAAAACTAATTCGATAGTTGGCTAGAGTATACGTCCTGTAAGGATGCATCGAAAGGATTCCATAGGTGTCAAGAGTCTCGTAAAATTCATCTCACCCAATTCCGTTCCTAACGCTTCTTAGCACATGATATTTTGAACATTTACAGCTCGATTTCCTTCTGCTCGGGCTGTTCGACGGCCATGCTGGTGATGAAGCTGCACAGTGCGCCAAGGAAATTCTACCGATCAAGGTGTGACAGTTCTTTACAATCAATTGCTTTGCCATATGTCAATGATTGACTGGCATTGATGGTCTCATGAGATTTTCACTGCGAAGGCTTTATTTTTTAATGCTGAATACTTTCATTTGCAATTCAATTTAATTTTGTATAAGAAGTAGAATTATCTGCAGCGGAACTTATTCGATTTCGCTATTTTCTTGCTTTACGGACATCGTTTTTTTTTGCGTCTTCAAACTCTGGAAACCTCAAGGTATACCCCCTTTCCAGTCAGATGGCTGTTGCTGCAACAGCTCCGACCTCTAGGTTCCTACCTTAAGCTCATTCCAACTTCGTATTTACGTCCCATGTTCCATAATCAAGGTCAAGGAAAGCTGTGAAAGGTCGAATATCGCTCACCTTGCACACATATTCGCCAACGCGATGCTAAGAGCCTGCTATAAGATCAGGATAAAATCTTTTGACGATAATCGATCCAGTTTTGGGATGCCTCCTACGTTCGATATTCATTCGGAATCACAGTGGCTTTTTGGACGTGGCCCATACAATGGCTTGCGGTCGAAAGCCGAATGCACAAATCGTACTTTTTTGCTCTAAGCCTGGTCCTATTATAGTCACCTCCTACCCCAGAGGGATGAAAGGCCTGGGAGAATATTGTTTCGGAAGTTACCGAAAGGTTGTAGGCCTCGATGGGTTGTTTCTATGCTTTACTCGGAATTCAATATTCTCGCAACTTAGATTCAGATTTGATCCCTCCATTTCGATATTAAACTCATTTGAAGACCTTTGTATTGATCGAAATGCCAATGGATCAGCAATAGTGCTTCCAAAAGAAAGAAACTTCAAACGGAAACACTCGATTGCTGAAGAGTTGAACGGATGGGCCAAAAGAAAGTCATTAATGTAGCGGTGATTCCTGTTTTTAGTTGGGGAGACAGTGATACATCATTTCCATGTGCGCGAAGAACGAAGAAATGTGTCATTACACTTTCGTCGATTTCTATTTGAACAGATGTAAACTAAATTCGATCCACTCTACCTTGTGGATTCAATAAATTTTCCGAATTGATATTAGCAAAACGAAGGGGGGGGGGGGGAGCACTGTTAGGACTATGTAGACTGTAGACTGAATCAAACAGCTTGCCATTTCAGGGAATCACTTCAGGAGTCCATGGAGTTGTACCATTTCAAAGGGCTATGCAAATGTTTTAGTATTTTACTTACAATTTCTTTGCGGTGACCACTTGAAATAAAGCGATTTCTTTAGGCAGTTGGGTGATCATAAAAACTGTTCCATAGACCTGCACTCACCCTCGGTCATATACCTCAACCACGACGTTCCACCTACATGATTGACCTTCACCCCTAGTAGATAATCATCGAGATAAATGTCGATCGCTACATATTATGGCTATCTTGCTATATTTGCTCTTGAAGGGTATAAAGATCATTGTAGAATTCTGTCTGCACGATCGACCCCCGCATTCCACTTCCATTTAGAATATTAGAATAGAATATTAGAATTTAGAATAGAAATGGCATTCTGAAAGCGTATGTGACCTATACAATGACTTACGGTGGCCAGCCGATGTACAATTTAAAAAGGTCAATAACATTAAAACTCATTAAAAAATAAAAAACTAAATTGGTGGTACAAGTCAGTGCTTCTATCGTCCCACACGTACCAACTGCCCGACCCTGGAGGGATGAAAAGCTCGGTTTGCCTAGGCGGATATCAATTGGGCATTGGATTTGGATTGCCCGTACTATGCTCATAATACTATAGTATTTTCCTCTTGCTACTACACCACCTCTACTCTTATGTATTACTTTTTGGATTATATTCTACTATGTATTGGCTATTATAAAGGAGAAATTAAATTGTTCCGGGAGGGTACAAGTTAGGGTAAACTCTGAAATAGCGCATGCATTCGAATGCATATTTAAATCGACGATGACTTGTGAAAGACAGCCAATAAGATCAGCGCTCTTACCCCTGTCCGATCTCAACTAATGAGTCTTGAAGGAATAGACAGCTTTGTAAACCAACACAGCGGCGATCTCTAATTTCTGAACGCTTTTGTAAACATCCAAGGATGGAGGAAGAAAAAACTAATCAAATTGTTGTCAGTGATTTTTAGGAGTAATAATGCTAATCATGAACTGTGAAAGCAGCGACAAGCAGAGAAGTCAAAATCCAGGAGTTTTTTGCTTCTCATAGATGTCTCTTTCGCTTTTATTCTATTTAAGCACCCAGTCTTCCAAATGATTGTTCTAGTGTACTTTTTCAGGTGGACAAGCTGCTTCGACGTGGTTGGAGTGAGGAAAAAGCTCTACGACAGGCGTTTCACGACACCAATGAGCAAATGCTGCAAGAAATGAGTCAGCTTTTGTTAATTTATTTCCTCAAAATCAATCCATTCTTATTGACAAATAAACTGGGCATTGGAATCTGCTATGACTGCCTCTATTTACTACTGAGTTTGGTCTCTTCTTCTTTTTCTTATCTCACCAATCAGTCTATTTCCATTTCCCTACCTCGACTGCCTCTCCTTCTGAGTAGAAGTTGCTGAAGATTGCTAGGTCTAGGTTTATTCCTTTCGTGCGTGTCCTCCGAAGTCATAGTTCTACCAAAGCTGCAACTGCGTGAAAATCTCGGCCAGCGATCCAACATTAAGGGTCCCAATTCATAGTAAATGAATATGTTTGCTAGTGCACAGCAATTTAAAAGAACTCTTTAAACAAGCCGCACGAGTCCATTTTAAGGCTGTCATGGTACGCTAGCATAGGTCTGTTTTGTGAAATAGGAAGGACTTGGAAAGATACGAAATCTTATTCTAGTTAAGCGTCTGTCTGTTTTTGTAGATTCTTGGGCACCATCGGGATCCACTCCTTCACGAGCCGGCACAACCGCTTGCGTTGGTCTGCTACGCAAAGGACGATTATGGACAGCAAATTGTGGAGATTCGACCTGTGTGTTGGGGGTCCGCGTTGGAGGTTTGATTTTTTTATAAATACATCGTATTAAAAATGAAAACTCATATTCAGAGGGCTCTTCATGGTATCCAGCCGGTATCCGAGCAACTTCACCTCATTCATTGAATGCACAGGAACGGGCGAGAATTGCCAGAGATGGTGGTCAGGTAAGTATGCCCATGGGCATTTTCAGATAATTTTCTTGCTGAGGAGGCTTTCACTGAAAGCGACTGGAGCATGACTGTGGCTCAGTTACGGTCGCTGAACGAAGGGGGTTTAACTGTCTCTAGTAGTGATGCCTCAGACGGACCGTATTGGGAGACGTTTTCTATTCTCCTTTCACAACTGGCACAATACGATGATAGAAATCTTAAGAGGGCTGGACCTTTCGGCTTTCCTGTACGATGCAGTATCGGGGCTCTTGTTTCCTGACTATAAAGCCGTGCCATGCAATTTCTCCGAGCCGTTTTGTGCTGCGAACTCTCAGTAGACCTTCAGGAACCTCGGAGGACATGCTTTTTTACACTCTTGGAGTAAAAAGAGGTGGTCTGCTGAGGGGGAAATAGATGGGAGCAGAGGAATGGGGAGCTTTTTCTCAAGAGAAGAGGAAAGGGGAAATCTTCTCACGATTTTCCTATATGAAAACGCTCTCATACCTCGTTATCCTCTTCCCAAAGCCCCCCTGGACCCTGAACAGGCGCGGCAAATGTGTCCCAGTATTCAACATTAAAACAGGATCTGGAATTTCATTTTTTCTTTTGATTATAGAGGTAATGATTTGTCAAGATACGGTTGTCCAACTTAAGGTGGCAATAGACAGTCGAGGAGATGCCCGAGTGGTGTTCAGTTGGTGCAAGCGCCACTGCTGGGCACGGCAATCACGCTGTTCTCATCGCAAATCGCATCTACCGTGCCTGAACATTACGCGATCTCTCGGTGAGTCTGCTCTCCACCCTAATATCAGAATTGCAATAAAGACCTCAATTATGTTTAGGAGACTTTTGGTCGTTTTCGAGCGATACGGGTCGTTTCGCGATTTCTTGCGATCCTGACATCCGGTCGTTCTCCATCGCTGACGACAACATCTTCGCCTTATGCCTTCATTCCGATGGAATTGCTCTCTCACCTGGCCACATCGTAAAGACGATGAATTTGACGTCTTCCGAGGACAAGGTAGTGGTATTGATATTTGGTGAAAAGCCCAATTATCTATAATGCGATGTGGGTAGCACCATGTACAAATGACAACGGTTGCGCAAAGTGGACCGCGATGGAGAAAGAAGTTAGATAAGCCGTCAGAGCCACCAAAAGCATGACCTTCTTTACAGAAATCCTTGCTTTAAGAGACTGTGAGAGATTGAATAATGTCGTCTCTATCCATAAATAATTAACTTCAGGAGAACGGATCAAACGCAAAAAGGATGAACGTTGCCTTGGAATTGATTGCTCAAAATCGGCATTACTTGAAATCCCGGACTTCTCGTGACAACGCTGCGAGTATAGTGGTGAGTAGTGAGATATAGGATAAGATTCTGTAAGGTCAAACACTTTTATTTCACCCATGAAATGTTTTTTCAACTGATGCTTCAAATTTGAGCACGTTACGATGAAACCCAGCCGGCCGATCGTCTGCGAACCGAGTACACAAGAGTTCCATAATAGTGGTAGTAATAGAATAGTAACCACTGGTAATGATGACAGCAGTAATAGGAATGACAATAAAACACAAATCAAGTCAAAAGCCTTGTGGCATCAGTCAGCCTCGTTTTTGGGATGCAAAAGGACGGACGCTGTGCATGCATAGCTTAGTACAGCTCCGCCCATTGTGGGCGGGGTGTACGTTCACATGAAAGCTACTTCTTGAAAATTTTGAATCTTCTGACCCTAAAAACCTTGTGATAATCGTGTCGTTTCAGGTGTTAATCAACCAGTCACCTTAATTGACAAACAACGGACTGAGCAACAAACTTCACCTGGCTGAGATGGATCTTTCACGACAGATCCTTGCAATCCCTGTTTATGTAGTTGGTGACTGTTATTTTAGTTTTGCTTAGTGCTTTATCTCCATCATTTCTGGGAAGCAGTTCTAACTCGGGTTTTTTTTATATTTAAAAAGCACCTTCTACTAAGGGCATTCTTGACATGACAGGCAGTTGTGTGCTTTCACTTTTGTTGCCTTCACTTCACATTCTCCAATCCTCCCCCCTCCCGTCCCCCCAATGTGGCCTTCTGATGGGATCGTCAGTGCGATTCCTTGTTTGTTATAATTGTTTGAATAATTGTACATAAGGCTGAGCGTTGCTTTCTTTTTATTTGTAAGCTGACAGTTTTGAGGATTTTGGCCTCAATTTTTGTTTTGTACATACGAACTTCTTAAAAATAAATAACAACAAGATTTGGAGGAGATACTTTTTCGTGTAGTACACTGGTACTGTCCCAGAGTTGAAATCTGCTCTGCAACTGCACTTCTGAAACCGAGCCTTTTGATGTCAACCAGAATACGAACACAGTTGCTGCTATCCTGATCGCTTCGAAATGACGGAGAGTTTGGGTACAGCAGACAGAAATAATACCTCGTATCAGGAATTTCAGATGATTTCAGATGTAAATGGTTACCCACACGGAATTCCTAATTTTCCCAGCGGCATACACGTGGTTCAACAAAATGGCGCTAGTTAAGAAAGATGGATAGTTTAGGTAATTTAGGCGAGGACACATCTCTGCTACGACATTTGCACCCGCAGCCGGTGCTGAAGTACCTACCCAACTGCACAGCCCCTATGTGAAATGAAACACATCTTGCCAAAAATCACCTTTATATTCCTCGTGGGATAGCTGATTTTAAAATTTGTAGAGTGGCTTCGAACGACGGTTGAACGTTACTATCTAAGGTTGCATATTTGACAAAATTAAAACTCTAGGCATTAAAGTCCCACTAGCCCTAGCAGAAAGAGAGAAAGCAAGAATCCGTCGAGTGGACCACTTCCCACCAAGAGCAAGGACTTTAGCAAAACTATTTTCTGCATGTAACATATTACAACGAACAACAATTAATCTTCGGACGATGGTCGAAGGGTAACAACAACAATACAATCTCAACAACAGTAACAAATGGGACTGAAGACGGCCGGCGTCTGGCTAGAAAGATACGTCGCGAAGTTCCTTTTTGCTGAGCCGTCCTTTCTTCAATTTTCGCAACAGTTTCACATCATTCTCAAAATCTTCACGTTCTTCATGTGCATCCTTCTCCAATTTCCTCTTCAGAGGTTTTGAAACCTGGAAAACCATCATATAGGAATTTTCCCTGGACGTCAACATCTTTTTAAAAGTATGGGATGGGCACTTTGTGATGCTGTCACAGAAAAATCAGACGGAAGGAGACTACTCTATGCTCTGGAACCCAAATTCGGACCTGATATGACGGACGGACAACAACATGAAGCTACAAAGAACGTAGTGCTGCTCTTGAAGGCAATGGTATCTTATGTTAGTAGATAAAAGAGGGGATAGGTCGCTTGGGTATGGGGAAAAATCACATCCACAACAACTTAGAAGCTATTAGAAGGAGGGTGGGGAAATCCAAGCCTACACTGGGATTTTGCCAAGTAGAAAAAGGTAAAAAACAACAACGCAAGCAACCTTATTCCATCCTCTTGGAAGATTTGAAAAGAATCGCTCCTACCTCCGCCTTCCCTGCAGTCTTCACGCCATTCTTCACCTTCGGCTTCTTCTCAGCAGACTTCTTCTCAGCATTTTTCTTTGCCAACTTCTCTTTCATCACTTTGACCCTTTTCTCATGTCCATCCTCTTGGAAGATTTGAAAAGAATCGCTCCTACCTCCGCCTTCCCTGCAGTCTTCACGCCATTCTTCACCTTCGGCTTCTTCTCAGCAGACTTCTTCTCAGCATTTTTCTTTGCCAACTTCTCTTTCATCACTTTGACCCTTTTCTCATGTTTAGCAGTCATTATCTTCAACAAAGAAAGAAGTGTCAACAACCACACTCATCAACACGAAAAAATAGATGCTCCACCTCGGCTCGTTTCTTTTCCAATGCCGGATTCGCGTATTTGATGGTTGATGTGTCAATGTCACTCCGTTGGAAATTATCAAGATCCTTACGTCCACTGAGTTCTCGCATTTTCGGCAGCCGGAGCAGACCGTAAGCATGAGCGAGCCCGGCTACGTCCAGGTCTTGAACAGGGGACTTTGGATAGGTAGTGCAATCGAAAGTTTGGCGAAATCACTCGTTCAACCACCTTTCAGACCGCAAACGATGTTGCAATCGTGCTTCACATAGCTCTCGATATGACTAACGAACGCTCTTGTGCCATTTTCCAGAATTTCCCTAAAATTAAAGTTCATTCATTGTCATGCTGAAGGCAAGGGAAAAGCATTAAGACGTTCCTTCTGAAACACCTATTTCGTGCACTTTTTTTTAATAAAAAGAGTTATGAAAACTGAATTGAATTTGTGGCTCATCGCTGCAACGTAATCCCATGTGCCCAACACTGCCCTGATTAGGTCCTCTTCATGTTTTGAATATAACGGGAAAAACACACCGATCCGAGCACACAATCTTGATCACTTTCTCTCTGAGTTGGGTAGCTTTCTGCGCGTTACTGCTTGGCACTGATATCTGCTTCAACTCAACCTAAATGTAACTTATACTCTGTCTGCTTGGATCTCAACTCGCACCTGTAGCAATACCCACCTTCTCATGCTTCGCTAGGTAACCAACATAAGCAGTTTGTTGGGGGGAAAGAACTAACAGAGCGTTTCCTTCTCGTCCGCAGCGAGCCGTTCGGCCTGATCGATGAACAAACCAACTGAAAACCAACAAATAAAAAACAATAATAATATAAATTCACTCATAGGAAATTACGTCTAAAAGCAATCTAATGCTACATAATTAGAGATTCTTCACTTGGAACTCAATGTTACTGTTCCAGTCAATGTTAATAGTGGGATAAGGCATTACAATCAGGGATTGTATCTGACTCTAGCGGTATGAAGATGGGACATGGCGGACAAAGTCGTTGAAACTGCTATGGTTGAAC